CAACTTTCCTGCCCAGGTTGACTGAAACTTGATCTAGAAGGCAGTTGATGAGGCACCATCTCAGACTCCCAAGTAGCTAGGATTACAAGCATGAGCCATCGGTCCCCAATCCAGTGTGTTTCTTGAATGCACGCCATCTCCTGTATCTCCATGTATATTTTATCAGTTCTTCCATTGTGGTCCCTCATCAATTGCCCTTCTAGAACAAGTTTCAGTGCTGGCCTTTCATCCCTACTCCTCTTTCTTCTCAAGTCTGCACCCACATTTTTAGTACCCTAGTCCCTTATGTCCAAACCTTCTGGATGGATTCCTCCTGTTCCTGGCACATTGTGGCTACACCTGTTGCTGTCCTGGCCTCTGTGGCCTGTCTGGTTCTGACCGAACTCAGTTTCTCTGTTAGCTAAGTGCTTTTCCTGCACCAGGAGCTTTGTTCAGCTCATGCCCAGGGCCTTCATGGCCATTTGGGGTTAAAACTATGCTCTTTCCCCTTTCTCTCTTGGCTCCTATCCCATCCCATCCATGCCACAGGCCTTTCTGAACAGTAGGCTGGAAACATCTTTTTTTCTGTTATCTTCTCTTTTTGCTCTCTGTTGGAAGCCAGAAGCTGGGGAGCCTGGGCTCCTACCCCTGGAAGGGGTCCAGGGGTAGGAGGAGAACTTTTTCTGCCCATCAGCCACCAAGGGGGCTTTTGCTGTTTCTCCTTCCTCTTTTTGCTTTCCAGAACTGGCTCCTCTTCCAGCTCTGATGCCTGTATGGCAGGAGGTTACAATATTTCTCTTTTGCATTAGGAGGAGGACAGTCCTTCCTTAGATCAATGTGTCCTTCTGTCAAACTACCCAAGCTGGAACTCTTGGGTTTAAATTAGCACTGCCATTTCCTTGTGCTATATCTTTCACTAGGTGACTGATCCTATCTACCAGTTTCCTCAGCTGTTAACAGAGACAAATAGCAGCATCCATTTCACAGGGTTGTGTGGGAATGATGCCACTCAGCACCACAGGGGGAGAGCAACGCATCAGAGTTAGCTTGGTTCAATTGACTATTTTTCTTGTGGGTGGGTTTGAACTCAAGGCTTCTTGTTCTTGCTTGGCTTTCTCAGTCAAGGCTGGCACTCCACCATTTAAGCCATGCTTCCACTTCTGGATTTTTGCTGGTTAATTGGAATGAAGAATCTCGCACACTTTTCTCCTGGGCTCATTTTGAACCGTGTTTCTCCAATCTCAGCCTCCTAAGTAGCTAGGATTACAGGTGTGAGCCACCAGTACCTGGCCAATAATGGCCTTGCTCTAGGTCACACATTGTAGTTCATGCAGCAAATTGCTTGTGGCCAGACTTGTCCTTCTCCTCTTCTTCCTCCTTTTTTTCATCTTCTTCCTTCTTCTCCTCTTCCTTTTCTCCTTCCTTCCTTCCTTCCTTCCTTCCTTCCTTCCTTCCTTCCTTCCTTCCTTCCTTCCTTCCTTTCTTTCTTTTTCTTTCTTTTTCTCTCTCTATTTCTTTCTTTCTTTTTTCTCTTTCTTTCTTTCTCACCTCCTCCTTCTTTTCCTTCCTATTCTTTTTGTTGTCCTGGAAGTGAGGACCCAAGAGTTGAATTGACTTTAATGAGAGGATTACTTCCAGAAGTATAATTCACCAAAAGAGTAGTCATAGCAGTAAGTTGAGAAGCTGCCTCCCACCTAGAGCTAGGGTGGTCAGGTGCCTCAGTTTGTCCAGGATTGAAGGGACTTTCAGAGGAGCTGGTTACCCAGTGTAGAGATGAAAATGGAGGAGATATTGTCTGGGTAGAAGAGGTGGAGGAGGTACCTGGGAGGAAGCTGCTGTCCTGGAATTAGGGGAGCTGGGAAGAACCGAGGACCTCAGTCCCACTGGGATGTCCTGCTTAGTCTCCCTTTGGTCAACTTGAGCAGCAGAAAGCAAGAAGTAAGGAGAAGCTCCATGGTGAGAGGAGGGTAGAGACTGGGAAGGATGCAAGAGGCAAGGAGGGCAGAACCAGTGTGGAGAAAACACATGATGGCATGAGAAGTGTCTGGGTCTCTCTGGATTATGTAGGAAGGCTCATTAGTGCTGATTAGATGAGAAAATCTTGCTCCTCTCGGTGCAGCACCTCAGCACCAAGTGTTCCCTGTTGCTCTGCATTCAGGCTGGCCCATGTTTAGGGTTCTATCCTGTGGTGGCAGCACTATTTAATCCCTGTGGTTTTTTTTTTTTTTTTGGGTGCTGGGGCTTGGACTCAGGGTCTGTAGTGTTTTGCACAAGGCCACTTGAGCCACCACCCTAAAAAGCTCCACTTTTTTTTTTTTTTGTAGTGAATGGAGATAAGCGTCTCATGAACTTTCCTGCCAGGCTGTCTTTGAATGGTGATTCTCAGATCTCTGCTTTATGTCTCTGAGGCTGGTTGTCTTCTGCTGATCCTCCTGTCTCTGCCTCTTGATTTCTGGGGTTGTAGGTATGGTCGATGTTTAACTACAGTGGCTGAGTTCTAGTTATTTCAAGAGGCTCAGTCAACCAATGAAGCCGAGAGCAATGAAATAATCCCCGCACTGCATTTATTTCCTATAGACGTTGTCAGGTGGTGTCAACGGAAGTCTGCGAAGCCTGGTTCATAGACTATAGATATGGCTTTGTTTTATAATTACTCAAATAAAATAAAAAAAATTGCTCAGGCGAAAGATGTAAAAGTCTGAGTTTTTCCTTCCAAGAATACTTAGAAGAGGTCTGAGCTTGGATGTCAGGCAGTTGAGTCAGGAGGAAGGGCTGCAGGAGTTAGAGACCTCTCCCATCCTGTTGGACACGAATGGGTGAGTGATGGGCCGGGTGGGAGGGAGGCTGTCTAAAGCAGTGATTAGGCTGCTTGTGCACCTGCCACCTGCTTCCAGCACAGGGAAGGCCTGGCATGGACAGCATGCTGGGTAAATGTATGAAGGAGTTGCATGCCTGAATGCCAGTCTCTGGGGTGGGTATATTTCTGTTTACAGCCTGACTCCCACTCCCACCACCCCACATGGTGACTCAGAGGGTTGACATCATTGCTGTGCCCAGGGGGCTTCAGCCGCCTCCTGGAGGCTAGCTCCCACTCACGATCGTCTCCTCTCCCACGCTGCCCAGGAAGAGATAAGGGAGGCTGAGAAAGTGATCACAGCCTGGGGAAAGGAGACAAAGGTTGATGGGAAATGACGGCTCAGACTAGGCTATCACATTCTCCCAAGGATTTCTATAGTGGACTGTGCTTAGAAGCAGAAGTGTTGAGGCCCAGAGAGGCTGGGAGCTACTCAAGGAGGTACACAGCTCTGCGGAGATTCATCCCAACTCCCCTAAATTCTTGGTATTTTAAGTGCCAGAAGGAAAGGAGAGTCTGTCAGGCATGAAGGGATCAGATCTATGAGTTATCTTTTTCCTACCCCTCATGATGGCGGCAAGCAATCGGGAGCTACTTGTATTCTCCTAGAGGCCCTAGGGTAAAAGATACTACTGCTCCCTTATGGGCCAGAGTGGACGTAAAACTTTGTTATAATAAAGATGATATACAGAGGGGTTACAGTTACGGTTTGAACAGTGTCACCTTTTCCTTCATTTTCTCCCACTTTCCCCCCACCCAATCTCCCTCCTCACCCCTTCCCTTACAAGTTGTATAGTTCAGTTTCAACATAGTATCAAATGAGTATCACTACTGAATTAGTTCGCCCTTTGCAGAGTGGACTTTTCCTCTGTCTCCTCCGGCAGGGCCCCTGCCTCTCTATTGGGATCAGGACAGTTTCTGTCCTCTCGGGGCTGTTTTCTTGCTGAAAGCTGAAGGAGGAGATGAGGGTCAGTCTCTGTCACTTCTTCAATCAACTTAGGTCTCTACATTGGGAGTCTCGTTGTCTTTGCGTGGACCGTGTTTGGTCCCGGCAAGTGGATAGAAACCAGGATAAACATTTGGAATGATTTAAGGAGCCCTCTAATCTCTCTCCTCTAATGATTTAAGGAGCCCTCTAATCTCTCTCCTCTTGTGGTCAAGGATTTAGACTCTTGGTGATCAGGAAAGAAGGAAAATGATGGGCTCCACCATGGACCTCTTGGGGTTTTTGCTGATCACAGACTTCTGGCATTTCCAGCCAGAACTGCAGAAAGGGGGGCCCTCTATTCACATTCAGCTCCCTCCAAAGCAGCTGGGCCCTTGTGGAAAGGGTAAGGGACCTCAATTGGTAGCTAAAGCCCCCACCTCCCTTCAGTCCTTGGAAGAGAGAAATGAAGTAAGGACCTAAGCCACAGCCCCCTGCTTGAGAGCCTGGGCTCCTCTATTCCCCATTACCTCCATTACCTGCCCAGGCCCACATTCCGGCAGGGACCCACTTTCCGCCCCTGAATCTATGTTGTCCTGCACAAAAACTCCATCCAGCAGACAAAAGAACAGGCTGACCCACCTCTACCCTGTCACCTGTGTCCCCCACCGTGGTCCTGCCAAAAAGACAAGGAGGCCGTGGGCTGGGAGGGTGGGACTAGAGCAGGCCTGGGAACTCTTTGTAGCGGCCCATTGCCCAACCTTCTTTCCCTTGCCACCTGCACAGCCCTGGGCCCTGGGGCCTTGGCTTACCACAGGGCCCTGGGACAAACCCTACAGAACAGAGCCCCATTGACAACGGCCATCAGAGCTGGGTGGGAGGAGACCAAGTCAGCCACCGGGCGGTGGGGGCAGCTGTGGGAGCCCATACCATCCTGTTCCAAGTTAGGAGAGCCTGAGGGGAGAAAAGGTGGCTTCCTCTCCAAACAGTCTCGCCTTCTCCCAGCTCTAGCATACAAGTGATGGCTGGGAGGGGCCCCCTCCTGCCTCCTGGGGGAGAGGGGACTCCCTCCATGCCCACAGGGCCCCTCCCTCTCTTCCTGGGGCAATGGGACAGGAATGTGTGTGGAGTTTAGGGCCAGCCCAGCTGGCAAAAGATAAAAAGGCCCATCCATGGCCTGGTAGCTCATTGTGTTCTCTCTCGATCTCTCAGCCTGCTTGCTAGCTGCTCTGTCCGACAGCCATGAGATCCTCTATGTCTCGGCAGACCTACTCCACCAAAGGAGGCTTCAGCTCCAACTCGGCTAGCGGAGGGGGTGGTCGCCGCACCCATACCAACTTCAGCTCGGTGACCATGTCCCGGAGTGGTGGCAGTGGTGGTGGGGCCAGCTGCGGCCCCAGCATGGGTAGCTTTGGCAGCCGGAGTCTCTATAATGTTGGAGACCACAGAAGCATCTCTGTCAGTGTGGCCCGTGGGGCTTCCTCGGGTCGGGCTCTGGGAGGCTTAGGCTTGGGTAGTGGGGCTTATGTGGGTCTGGGGGCTGGAAGACAGACATTTGGTCCTGCCTGTCCTCCTGGGGGTATCCAGGAGGTCACCATCAACCAGAGCCTGCTGACTCCCCTCAACGTAGAGATAGACCCCGAGATCCAGAGAGTGCGCACCCAAGAACGCGAGCAGATCAAGATACTCAACAACAAGTTCGCCTCCTTCATAGACAAGGTGGGCTGAGTGGAATTGGGAGGGCTTGGAATGGAAGCAAGGCCTGGAAGGGAGGAGGGGCTGGGCAGAGGCTGCTGCAGCCTACATGCCCCGAGGCAGGCTGGGTAGAAAGGCTTTGATCTCTGTTGACCCTGGGGTCTGATGGCTGGGACAGTCTGCAAGGTCTTTGCTGTGAGCTGGCCTGGAAATCTATATTGTACTTGGGAGACTGAGGGACCAAGCTCAGCCTGTGTTGGAGGTTTTCCTAGGGCTGTGATGAGATTATTAGAAGCAGCCTTGTCTCACATTTAAAACTCGGATTGTCTTGGGAGTCCAACAAGTCACTGCAATGAAGTGTTAGAGCCCTGTCTACCCACTTTTCTTTCAGCCTGGAAGGAGGCTTAAGGACAAGTTAGGGTTGGGACAGAGTTGGAGATCACAGCGGAAACTTCCTTTTTTTTCTGCTCCCTGTTTGGGAAGGTCAGTCTGGGCTGGACAGTGAGGGCGATCTCTGGGTCAAAGAGGAGTTTGACTTGTTGCTGATCAGGAGTGCTCCGAACCCTTTTCTTGCTTCCAGGGTAACTAAGAATACTATGATCAGACATTTCTTGGTCAGCTGGCATTGTCTCCCTCTGCCCTGAGCCAAGGCAGTGGGGGTCATGATAGGAGGTGCACTCAACAATGAGATCTAGTTCCCACGGGTGGAACTTCTACAAAGAACATTCCCTCTCTCTTTCTCATGTGGCACTCGTGAGAAGAACATAGGTGATGTCCCCATTTTTGAGATGAGAAAACTGAGGCCTGCCACACAGGTATTGGAAGACAGAAATGGAGCTAGAAATTAGGTTTCTGGCTCCATGGTCCTGGGCACTGAGTGCACCTGTTGCGTGAAACACCTGTGACATGTGACCCTGGGCCTGGCGCACCGTGGAGGTGGGAGCTGCAGTGACTTGGTTACAGGGAGTGAAGCAAGCTCCCTGCCCACCTACGCACCCTCTCCCCTAGTGACTTCTGGTTCTTTCGTGGGACTGTTCCAAAGGTCAGAGTTGCAGAAACTTCTCTCAGGCTCAGAAAATTACAGCCTGAGAGTTGGAGGTCTGAAGAGTTGGTGTCCTGTGACTCAGAGCCCTGGAAGTGGGGGTAGGGGAATGGATGTCAAACTCACTTTATAGGCCTTCTTCTGAGTCTATAGACATAAAACATGGACGTTCTTTTTAAAGCTGTTTCCCCTGCCCCCCCTCCCCCCCCTGCAGTTGTAGGGCTTGAATTCAGGGCCTGGGTGCTGTCCCCGAGCTTCTTTTTGATCAAGGCTAGCACTCACTTCAGTCACAGTGCCACATCTGGCCTTTTCTGTTTATGTGGTACTGAGGAATAGAAGGAACCCAGGGCTTCATGCATGCTAGGCAAGCACTCTACCACTAAGCCACATTCCCAGCCCCCACTTCCATTTTTTGAGTGGTTAATTGGAGATAAGAGTCTCACAGGGACTCAGAGCTCAGCCTCCTGAGTAGCTAGGATGATAGGCATGAGCCACCGGCATCTGGAAAAAGCTGAGTTTTTAAAAAATGTGGAATTTGTAGAGAAGTTGCAAGAATAGTTCAACTTATTATTATTACTATTGTTATTATTTTTTGTCAATTGTGGGGCTTGAACTCTGGGTCTGGGCACTGTCCCTCAGCTCTTCAGCCAAAGGCTAGCGCTCTACCACTTGAGCCACAGCGCCACTTCTGGCTTTTTCTGTTTATGTGGTGCTGAGGAATTGAACCTAGGGCTTCATGCATGTGAGACAAGCACTCTACCACTGAGCCACCTTCCCAGCCCCCTGTTATTAATTTTTTTTGTGTACTGATCCCGGGGATTGAACTCAGAGCCTGCATACTGTACCTTAGCTTTTTTACTCAAGGACGGTGTTCTACCACTTGAGCCATAGTTCTACTTCTGGCTTTTTGGTGGTTATTTGAAGATAAGAGTCTCATGGATTTTCCTGCTTAGACTGGCTTGGAACCACAATCTTCAGATCTCAGCCCTCTGACTAGCTAGGATTATAGGTGGGAACCACTGGGCACTCAGCCCAACATACTCTTATATGCTTTCAAATTTAGTAATTTTTCACATTTTGCCACCTTCCCTTTCCTTTCCCCCTCCCCATGTCTTTCTCTGCTCTCTCTAACCCGCTTATGATGCTTTCATTTGCTTATGCTTTGTAGCCCAGATTAGCCTAGAACTCTTGATCCTCCTACCTCAGTCTCCTATGTGTTAGGATTACAGGTCTGAATTACCAGGGCCAGTGATCACTGACATTTTGAACAGTGGGTTTTGATGCAGAATTCAGGTTCAGAAACATTATAATGTAATCCTAGCTACTCAGAAGGCTGAGATCTGAGGATCACAGTTCGAAGCAAGTCCAGACAGCAAAGTCTGTGAGACTCTTATCTCCAATTAATCACCAGAAATTTGTGGCTCCAAGTGGTAGAGCACTAGCCTTGAGTGAAAGAGAGTTCAGAGTCCAGTTCCCTCAGGACCCCAACCTCAGTGAGGAGCAGGTGCTGTTCTACCACCCCTGTGATGCTGACCTACTGTGGTGCTGACACCCAATTATCTTTCTTTCTCTGGCTTAGGTGCGGTTCCTGGAGCAGCAGAACAAGGTGCTGGAGACCAAGTGGGCACTGCTGCAGGAGCAGGGCCAGAACATGGGGGTCACCAAGAACAATCTGGATCCCCTCTTTGAGACCTATGTGGTCAGCCTGCGGCGGCAGCTGGACAGCTTGCAGGGAGAGCGGGGAAGGCTGGACTCGGAGCTGAGGAACGTGCAGGACGTCCTGGAGGACTTCAAGAACAAGTGAGGGAAAGTGCAGGACTGGTTTGCTGGTGAGGGGATGTGGGAGGAGAGGCATGGAGTTCTTCAGCACAGTCATGCATTCCCAGGGTCCTTGGTGCTCCTGGAAGGGGTGTGTGTGTGTGTGTGTGTGTGTGTGTGTGTGTGTGTGTATACAGTCAAAGCTGATTCCCCTGGGACTTAGGTCCAGGACCTGCTGCCACTGGGAGAATTGGTGTGCTTGTTTGTGTGTTTTCCATAACCTGACCCTGGCTATTTTTTGTGTGAATGTGCTGGTACTGGGGCTTGAACTCAGGGCCTTGAACTCAGCTTTCACTTGTCTTTTTGGCTCAAGGATGATGCTCTACCATTTGAGTCATACCTTCCCTTATGGCTTTTTGGTAGTTAATGGGAGATAAGAATCCCACAGACTTTTGTGCCTATGCTGAATTTAAACCTAGATCTTCAGATCTCAGCTTTCTGAATAACTAAGATTACTGATGATAGCCATTTTTTTTTAAACTTGAAAGTCTCAGCAGAAGTGGCTGGGGAGAAGTTGGTTCTTTTTCATGTCATGGCCTTGTTGAAAGGGGACACAGTAATTAACCACAGTTGGCACACTTTCACTTGCTCCTCTATGGCCTCTTAAGGACTCTGACCCAAAGGGATGTCTGTTCCTGCACTAATTCCATGCCCTTTTTCCCAGAAGAGGAAAAGAGGATATTTAAACTAAGGAAGCATCCTAAGTTTCTTTAATAGTTATCCGTATTAAAGAATCACTCCCCAAAGATGTACTTGTGCAATGGGGGAAACTCATTGGGCTAGTGGGTTCAAGGACTCAAGCGCAGATCTGGGCTGAGCAGACTTGAACCTTCCCCTTGGAACAGGTACGAGGATGAAATCAACAAGCGTACTGCTGGGGAGAACGAGTTTGTGGTGCTCAAGAAGGTGAGTGGATGATGGGAGTGTGATTGGTGGTCTTTGGCTGCCAGGGTGCTGGCTGAACTGGAGATGAAGGGACCCTCCCCTCCCCCCCCTCCCCCTCCCCATCACCCTGCCCTGGCCCTGTCCAGGCTGAGCTGGCTGTCTTGTTCTCTCTCACCCCAGGATGTAGATGCAGCATACATGACTCGAATGGATTTGGATGGCAAAGTGAACACCTTCCTTCAGGAGATTGATTTCCTGCGGAATCTCTATGAAATGGTGAGGTGGCCAATGGAGAGGGGGGAATTTGCATACATTTACATATAGCATTGAATTTGCCAGTCAGCCTAATTGGCAAAAGATGGAGACTTGACCCGTCCCATGTGTGAAGTACTTTCAATGAGCCAGGACTGGGTGAAACTTCTTGTACAATCCTTTTAACAGTTCCTATAACCTAAGTACCATGATTGTCTCCATTTTGTATAGTCCAGGGCTCATGGGCTCAGAGTCACTTGCTCATGGTTACAGAGCTAAGTGAGAGGCCAGAGCCAGAATTCAAACTTGGTTCTTGTACTCCTCTAGAATCTTGCCACTTTTTTTGTGTTGTCCTTGCCTTGGCCAATTTGTCCTGGGGTAAAGGATGGAACAGCAGAGATGGGCAGAGAGGGAGTAGGATTCCAGGCTGGAGTAGGAATGAGATGGGGATAGAATCCAGGATTCTAAGCCCAGTGCTGGTGGCTCATGCCTGTAGTTCTAGCTACTTAGAAGGCTGAGATCTGAGGATTGAGTCTGGGCAGCAAAGTCTGTAAGATTCTTATCTCCCATTAATCAATAAAAAGCCAGAAGTAGAGCTGTGGCTCCAGTGGTAGTGCTAGTCTTGAGTGAAAATACTCAGGGATGGCACCCAGGCCCTGAGTTCAAGCCTCAGGACTGTCTCTCTGTCTCTCTCTGTGTCTCTGTGTCTCTGTCTCTTTTTCTGTCTGTCTCTCTTTCTCTCTGACTCTTTCTCTGTCTCTGTCTGTCTTTGTCTGTCTCTGTCTCTCTCTGTCTGTCTCTCTCTCTCTCTCACACACACAATTTAAGACTCTTCCCCTTGGAGACTAAGAGGCATTACAGACTAGGAAGAAGGGGGTTGGAACTAACAAGAATTCCCTAGAGAACCAGGGGTTCTGAGAATCCGTTGGGACCTGAAAATCAGCCTTTCATCCAGTGTAAGATCACTTTTGTGACATTCTCATTTGTTAGTCAGCTGACCTCTACTTGAATACTTCCTGTGAAGGCAGGAATTGCCATTGTTGACCGATCTGGGAAAAGCTGCCTTGAGTTTTTTTTCCATTTCTGTCCTTGACTGATCCCAGACTGTGTGTGTGCGCATGTATGAATCCCAAGACATGTATGGGAGTAAGCATCCAGGTCTCTTAGTCAATCACTCATAACACAGAGGGGCAGAGAGGGAAAATAGACATCTGTTCATGCAGCAAACCTTGCCCTAGTTCATGCATTATGTTAGAAGTTATCTTATTGTTTTGATTGTTTGGGCAACCCTGGGTAGTTTTACACAATGCTTTTTTTTTTTTTTTTTAGACAACTAGGGTGGCCTTTCCAATGCTCCCCAGGGCCCTTGTCCTCCACCCCCTTCTGTCTTCTCTGTGGCCTGGTGGCAGCTGCTTCTGTTTTTTCAGGAGCTGAGCCAAGTACAGACCCATGTGTCGGATACCAACGTGGTCCTGTCTATGGATAACAATCGTAACCTGGATCTGGACAGCATCATCGCAGAGGTCCGTGCCCAGTATGAGCTGATTGCCCAGAGAAGCCGAGCAGAGGCTGAGTCCTGGTATCAGACCAAGGTGAGTGGAAGGCTGGCTCAGGCATGTGGGCTGCAAGAGGTACACCCCCCCGCCCCCCGCCCTGCCCTGGGACCTCAGAGTACTGGGGATGAGTGCACTCAGCCCTCATGACGGTCTCCATTAGAGGGTGGGCTTGGGGCTCTAACACCTCCCTAACCCTTCTTTGGCCTCCAGTATGAGGAGTTGCAGGTGACAGCTGGGAAGCATGGGGACAACCTGCGGGACACCAAGAACGAGATTTCGGAGCTCACCCGCACCATCCAGAGGCTGCAGGGGGAAGTGGATGCAGCCAAGAAGCAGGTGGGCCTTTATTTGTGGTCCTTGCGGGGGTCCGGCTTGGGTCTTGGCAGGACTGGTGAGCCTGAGGAGCCAGGTCTGTTCTTCAGAGGGATGGGCAACTAAATGCTGAACCACCAAGACTGAGGTCCTCCCCCAACCCCCCCTTGCACTGGTCCCGGGGCTTGAACTCAGAGCCTGAGCACTGTCTCTGAGCCTCTCTGTGCTTAAGGCTAGTACTCTACTAATTGAGTCACAGCACCACTTCTGGATTTTTCTGAGTAGTTTATTGGACATAAGAGTCTCACAGACTTTCCTGACTAGGCCGGCTTTGAACCACAATCCTCAGATCTCAGCCTCCTGAGTAGGTAGGATTACTGGCTTGAGCCACTGGAATCTGGTCAATTTTTTTTTTAAAGAAGAAACTGGGGAGGGAACTTGTCTAATAAATAGTAAATGCATAGTAAATGAATGAATAAATAATTTGTAAATAAATAGTAAAACAAGCAGGATGAGCTTTTCCAAGAAGATGCATCAATTTCATTTCTAGGTCAAAAACAGGAGGCTGAAGTTTCTAAATTCTAGGTCTAGATGTTGGTTTCAGCTAAGGTGTGGCTAAGAGGTATGAATTCTCCTGATCAGAACAAGGCATTTGGCTAATAGAAAAATTGTGACATTTATTCCATTTCTTCTGAAACATTGAGCTGAGCTGCAGGAAGAGAGATTGAAGTTTGACATCAGTCAGGACTACATGATTCTGCTCATTGTAACTCTGCTCTCTGGCACATATTTCTCCCTTCCCATTCCTCGGTTATCTGGGAAAGGGGTATGGTGATGGTAGTGGTGGCACCTGGTTTTGAGGAAAGAGAGGTGACTCTGGAGGATGTTCCTAATACCTTTCACCCCTCTGAGCAGTGTCAGCAGCTGCAGACAGCCATTGGGGAAGCAGAGCAGCGTGGGGAGCTAGCGCTTCAGGATGCTAAGAAGAAGCTTGTGGATCTGGACACAGCCCTGCACCAGGCCAAGGAGGACCTGGCCCGGCTGCTGCGGGACTACCAGGCCCTGATGAACGTGAAGCTGGCCCTGGATGTGGAGATTGCTACCTACCGCAAGCTGCTGGAGAGCGAGGAGAGCAGGTGGCTGCCCCTTTGCCCTTTTATCCTGAGAAAAGGGAGAGGGAGGGAGGGAGGGAGGGAGGGAGAGAGAGAGAGAGAGAGAGGCTGTTTAGTCTACACTGGTGGGGCAGAATGGGGCAGGCACCTAGCTCACCGAGCCTGTGCCTGTTCACCTCCTGGATGCAAAATCATCCCTCATCTGTGAGCTAAGGGCAACAGCAGCACAGGATGGAAGCTTCCTCTGACAAGTCCAAATTCCCCCATCAGTGGAAGCTTTGAAGGCAAAAAAAAGGTTATTTCTGTCCTTGGAGAAGTTACTAAGGCTGAGACAGGAAGTGGGTGGAAAGGAGATGAGCAAGGGTCTTGGTTTGGTCCTGGGTTTGTGGTGAGGGTGTTGTCCGTGGTCCTGGGCCTACTCGCAGTCTCTGTCCTCTGCCCATACTGGCTTCCAGCTGTGGTGGGAGGTCCATGGCAAGGCTTCTCATGGCTGTGTCAATGGATGGTGGCACTGAGGTAAAGGAAGGAGAGGATGTACCTGTGGGCTCTGGAGATCACTGACCTCTCCCGGTCTTTGTTTCCCCTAGGATGTCTGGCGAGTGTCCCAGTGCAGTGAGCATCTGTGAGTATTTGCTGTCTAGTCCTTGCCCTGTCCCTGGCCTGGCCCCAGAGCCCTGCTGCCTACTCATTCCATGCCCCTCCATGAGTCTCTCTGGAGCCAAGTCTAGAGTTTTCTGGACTGGGCTTCTCTGCCCATTTCCCCATGGCTCTGCTACCCCAGCCTGCCTAACCCAGAGCCTTTGCCTTCCAGCGGTGACTGGCAACTCCACCACCGTGAGCGGAGGCGTCTCCACAGGCTATGGAGGTGGCATTACCCTGGCAGGCAGCAGGGGGGCCTGCAAAGGTGGATTCAGCTCCAGCATGGGTTACAGCACGGCCAAAGGTGGGGCAGCCTCAGGGGGCACATCTATCCTGCGGAAGACCACCACGGTCAAGACATCCAGTCGGAGATACTAGTGGTTTGGGCTTTGCAAGTGGGGTCTCAAACCCACCCTCCCAACCTACCTGCCTATTGCTGCCATTCCCACCTTCTTTCTCAGGAGCAGAAACAGCCCAGGGGACCAGTTCTTTATACCACTTGATTTGCATATGATTTGCATTTGGAGTGAGGCTCAGATCTGCCCAGGTTTTCTGCTTGGTTGGGAGGTTAGGGGCATCAGCTAGAGTACTGACTTTCTGACCATGGGAAGTAGCAGTCTTGCTATCTTGGCTTCCTTCATCTACTGCCTGTCTGCTGCTGTGAGTCCAGGGAAGATTGGGGGGAGGCATAGGAGGGAGTCAGGAGTGGTTCCCAAAGATCCTCCTACCTCTCCCATCCCTTTTTCCCTAATTCAACTTACAGTCCTGTCCCCTGACTGTGCCTTGTGATGTGTCTCAATAAACAATGAGCTAGCTGGTGGATGGTGGCTGGAGTTTGTCTTACTTGAGGAACTGAAATGTGTTCATTGATCTGCAGTACTGTCTCATGCTCACCATGTCCCAATCACCACCTGGCTGGGAAAAGGCTCCTTGCCTAGTGCAGAGGAGCTTAAAGCTCAGAGGAAGAGAGTTCCCATCTACAGGGAGCCTCAGCTTCTGAGTCTATCACCTTGCCTGTCTGTGTTGCCTGTTGTACACTCATCATTGCTTTGAAGGCTAGGTGGCATGGTTCTGTCAGGGTGGAGATCCTGGCTTCAGAACGATACAGACTCAGGCTTACATTTCAGCTCTACCACTTACTGGCGGTTTGGCTTTCGACAAGTTACTTAATCTCTCTGAGCTCAGTTTCCTCTTCTGTAAAATCTGGGTCATGAGGATAATAGGTGTGAAGCATCTGGCATAAGGGACCTTGTGAAGATTGGGTGCCCTTGCTCCCCTTCCCTAGACTTCTTCTCTTAGAGTCACATAATTTCTCTCTCAGCCCTAATTTTGTGCTTTACTAATCCATTAGTTTGCTGCAGATTTCAGGAGGGGGGGGGGATACTATTGGATGGCCCACTTTCAAGGGAGAAAAATTGAGGCTCCCGGAAGTCAATCCTCATAGGCTCAGCTGTCAAGCTGGTTAGGGGAGGTTAGAGGTGCTTAAGATTGTGATTTCATGCCCTCTTTCCTTTTTTCCATGGAAGCACTCTCTACCCCACCCCTGCTTCCAGGATCCAAGGACTCTCCCTTCATTATGTTCACCTTTTTTTTTTTTTTAGTTGAGTGCTTATGGCTTACACTGATAACCCCAGCTATTTGGGAGGTGGAGATCAGTAGGACTGAGGTTTGAGGTCAGTCCCATGGAAAAAGTTTGCAAGACTCCATCTCAGCTAATAGCTGGGGCCAGTGGCATGGCCCTGTCACTCGATAGTGGTCCAGTGGTCCTGTCAGCTAGACAGGATGTGGAAATAGGAAGGATCAAGGTTCCAAGCCAGCCCAGGCCAAAATGTTCACGAGACTGTCATCTCAACAGAAAAAGCTAGGGGTGGTGGCATATACCTGCATTCTTGGGAGGCATAAATAGGAGGATCATGGTCTAGGCTGGGCTGGGCAAAAAGTGAGACCTGTAAGACTCTGTTTCAACAGCAATCAGAGCTAAAAGGTGTGGAGTTGTGGATCAGGCAGCGGACACTTGCCCTGTAAGCACAGAGCCTGGAGTTCAAACCTCACTACTTTAAAAAAAAAAAGAAAGAAAAGAAAAAAAAAAAGAGAATCACCACCTTTCTTCCTCAGCCTTCCCTCCTGCCCTAAGCCCTCTATCCCAAGCTTGGACCCCATTCCTCAGTCTATATGAAGTAATTTGCCTGGCTGGGCCTTTTACCCTCAGCTCTTCTCTAGTGCCTCCATCTGTCCCTAGAGCCCCCATCCTTCTCCCCATTCTGTAAACACTGCTACTCATGGTAGAAGCCCATGTTCTTTCACCCTGCTTACTACACACACACACACACACACACACACACACACACACACACACACAGAGCAAGCTGAGGGAAAGCCCACATGGTTTTCTGGTGGAAGGGACTCACTTGGTAGTACAATTTTGTGAACACTAGGGCTTTTCTTACAATTGTTTTATTCATCATGACAACCTTTCCAAAAAGGTCTGCTATGCCAGCTCTGAGGCTCAGGAAGCAAGGTGACTTTCTTGAGACCACCCAGCAAGGAAGGTGTGGAGATGGGAGTCCTATCCATCTAATTTCAAAGCTTGGGACTTTATAATGTCTTCTCCTGGTGATTCTGCCCCACACAACAGCTTTTGTCTGTGAGAATCGCAGCCGACCTACCTGCCCATTCTGCAGGCCTGGTCCCTCTCCTTTCTGTCCCTACTCTGTTCCATGATTAAAGTCTTCGTTTGCGTGGCCTGGTCCTCAATAAAGTAAAATGTGATTCTGAGAAACCAATCCTGTATCTTCTAGTTAACTAAAACTAAATAATTGTTAATCTTGTGGCAACCCCAAGTCACATAGTAAGAAAATTCTGATCTGGAACTGTTATCACAATGATTTTATCATCAGAATTGTCAAAAGGTCACAAAACTCTCAAACTGTAGCATGAAAACAAAAAGCTTATATAAGAGAGAACTTCCTGAGTGAGAGAGGCAGAGAGAAGAGAGCCTTTTTGTGGGAAAGATGTGTTCTTCTCATAGGGACCGGAGGCAAGCAATGGAATAAGGTTCTATCTAGCATGGCAGCTGACAGCTGGTCCCACCCCAAGCCCTAGCCCCCTCCCCCATGACCTTTCCTATCTCCCTCTGTGACCTTACTTCCTTTGGCAGCTATCCCAGCCCTGACACGGAGGACTGAGCAGCTGTGGGGTGTGGAGGTGGAGTGGGAAGGTGTGTTTGCCCAGGGCCCTCCAGAGGCAAAATCCCTCTCTTTCAGCCTGGGATTACCCATCCAAGTCCTCTGTCACTCTGGGCCCTAAGCCTGGTGCATGGTGTGGGAACATACCCTGCCTTCTCTGGTTGGGTCAGCGCCTGGCCCTGCTCAGTCACCCAGCCTCTACTATTCTGAGTCATTCTGAGGGAGGCAGAGCCAACAAGAGGATCAGAGATTCTGCCACGCAGAACCTTCAAGAGGGCAAAGAGGCCAGGGTGGGGTTGGCACATCATGACACTAGGATCCTTTCTCCTGGGCCACAGAGAAAGCCCTTCTTGTTCTGGGGAGGTACTAGCAGGAGCTTCTGCAACACAAGCGTTCTCGAGGTGGGGAGGGGGAACACTTCATGTGCACAATCACTGCAGGGCAGGTAAGGCTTTGTCTGGTCAGTCCAGAGGAGGGAACACCATTCCTGTGGCCTACTGGTCTCCCCTAGGACCCCCTGAAGCAACCCCAGGGTCCTTAGGCCCCAAGAACAATCCACATGGGAACCCTGCAAGGATTTCTGAATAACTTGTTGCTGGGCCTCTGAACTCTGCAATGCAATTGCTGTTTTAATTTCAACAAAGCTATGGAGTGGGGGGAATGTTTTGTTCTGTTTTTTTATATTTTTTGTCTTTGTGCCAGTATTGGGGCTTGAATAGAGCCTGAGAGCTGTGACTAGCTTCTTCACTTTCTACTTGAACCACAGCTCCACATCTGGCTTTTTTGTTGGTTGATTGGAAGTAGTGTCCTATGGACTTTTCTGCCCTAGCTGACTTCAAACCAAAATCCTCAGATCTCAGCCTCCTGAGAAGCTAGGATTACAGACACGATCCACTAATGTCCAGCTAAATCTGTGGGTTAGGGGGTGTTTTTTTCTGGGGAGTTGTCCTCTTTTTTTTTTTTTTTTGGTACGAGTACTAGGCTTTAAACTCAGGGCTTGAGCACTGTCCCTTAGCTTTTTATGCTTAAGGCCGGCCCTCTAGTACTTGAGCCACCCACAACTCTACTTCTGGCTTTTTGATGGTTATTTGGAGAAAACAACCTGGTTTGACTCTGGCTTCAAATTGTGATCCTCAGATCTCAGCCTCCTGAGTAGCTAGGATTGCAGGCATGAGCCACCCAAACCCAGCTCAAGCTGTGGGTTTTTACTCTGGCATTAGCTTCCTGATACTTCTTTTTTATTTTTTGCCAATCCTAGGGCTTGAACTCAGAGCCTGAGCACTGTCCATGATGGAGGTCGCAGCACACAGGCCGTTCCTGAGACAGAGAGAGATGAGCCGGGCGCTTGTGGCTCACACCTGTAATCCTAGCTGCTCAGGAGGCTGAGATCTGAGACTCATGCTTCCAAGTTAGCTCAGTCAAGAACGTCCCTGAGACTCTTATCTCTAATTAATCACCCAAAAGCCAAAATTGGAGCTATGGCTCAGCTAGCCTGTAACACAAAAGCTCAGGGACAGTGCCCAGGCTTTGAGTTCAAGCCCCAGGACTGGGCAGAAAAGACCATGAAACTCTTTTTTTTCTCTCTAGGTGTGCCTTCCTTCCTCATATGTCCACTTCCAGCATGAGCCAGAGTGGACACCTGTTGACCAGGGTTGCTAGTGGCCCATAATTCCTTCATCCCAGGTTGCTGGGCCCGTCAGGCGTATTCAGGAGCCCTGTCCTGCCCTTGTGGGTCTGCACAGTAGACAGACTAATTTCACCCAGCCGCAGCTGTGTGGGAGGGAGACCATGAGTTCCCAGTCCTTGGAACCAAGCTGATGTGGGCTCTGCCACATGCTGTGCAAACCTGGGAGCTGCTTCATCTCTCTGAGTGCCCCTGTCACCATTCAAAAGCAGAGCTGGCGGTACCAGCCCAGGAAACCCATTAAGAAGACTGGCTAGTGGGGGCCCTGGCGGCTCATGGCTCACTCCTGAACTCCTGGCTAGTGAAGGAGGCTGAGATCTGAGGATTGAAGTTTGAAGTCAGCCTGAGTAGAAAGTCTGTGAAGCTCTCATCTCCCAATTAGCCAACAAAAAAGGCAGAAAAAGAACTGTGGCTCAAGAGTGCCAGCCTTGAGGGAAAAGAGCCAAGTGAGCGTAGGAGGTCCTGAGTTCAAGCCCCAGTCCTGGTGTGCTCTCTCTCTCTCTCTCTCTTTCTCTCTCTCTCATACACACAAGACTGGCTGACCTGTGTCTATAAGTCGTCTAGCACACAGGCCCAGCTGGTGCTCAAGGATGAGTGCGTGCTTAGCCCCTTCTCTTGGAGATGATGTTGGCTTTGCAATGGTCACCTGCTCTGCTGACTGACATGTCTTTCAGATGTGTGATGTTTGAGCTTCGAACCCTTGCTGTTAACACCCTTTACCCTATCCCTTTACTCCAGGCCAATAGCAAGGAGAGGTCAGCATCTAAGGCAGGTTGAGGGGAGAAGAGGAGGAAAGTACGGGACACAGATTCCCCAGTTTCCCCTTGTAAGTGGCAGTGGAAAGGACCGGCTGGGAAGAGAATGAATGCCTACTGACCTCCCATGTGCCCGGTAGGCCCTCTATAAGGTACTTTGTCTTATCACCTGTGGGGCGGGTCTCTCATTTTATAGATGAGAAGGTTTCAGAGAGGTTAAGTCACCCACCCCAGGCAGTACAGCTAGCTAGTGGCAATGTGTGGAATTTGGACACAACATCATTTATACTCATTGGACAAGAACTTAAGGTTTAAAACTAGGGGATTTTGCACCTAAAAGCATGGCTCTGAGAAGGGGCTCATTGGTTTTACCATTCTGCCAAAGAGATTCCCAGCATCAAACACATTCGGAATTCCTGACTTGAATAGAGAAGTTACTCTGGAGGAAAAAGATGTGCTCTGTTCTGGGGTAACTGAGCAAACCCCAGGACGGCAAAGAGAGTGGTAAGGCCCATGCCATCGGGGCCAGCCTAGAACAGGGTCCTCAAGCACAGCTCAGGCAAGAACTACAGAGACCCGAGAAGCAGTGGGAGGCCTGAGGCAGCAGACAGGGGTTTTACAAGGGAGGATGTGGACCCCTGCTACCCCTCTTCCAGTACCAGCCCTAGTACAAGGCAAGTTGAAGGGAGTCTGGTCTAAGTTCAGGAGACTACCAGAGGCTGCAATACAGATGTCCTCTGTGTGTGTTCATGCGCATGTGCATGCGCGTGAGTGTGTGCCAAGATTGGGGTTTAAACTCAGAGCCTGGTGCTAGCCTTTAGCTTTTTCACTCAAAGTTGGTGCTATATCACTTGAGCCACACCTTTACTTCTGTTTTTTTTTTTGCTGGTTAATTGGAGATAAGAGTCTAACAGACTTTCCTGCCTGAGCTGGCTTCAATCCTCAATCCTCAGATCGCAGCCTCCTGAGAGGCTAGGATTACAGGTGTCAGCTACCAGTGCCTGGCTTCAGATTTCTTTCTTTTGGGCAGGTGCTTGGGGTTAAATACACCCTGAGGAGCCAGGATGACAATGATACAAAGTTTATGTACAGTGCATGAAAGTTTCAAAAGCACTGCATGAATCACAATCTCACTGTGTTCTGAAAAGCAGCGAAGGTAAATATTTGTACAATTTTTATCTTAGGGGTAAAGTGGCTGTGTTCAGAGGGTGACCCGCTCCAAGTGTGCAGACTGAACCCAGGATCATGGGTCCCAGATTCTGTAGCATGACAGGAGGTGCCACAGGGCTGCCTGTCTGGAGCAGGTGAGGTGTGGGCAGGTAATAGGGTGGGGGGGGGGCGGATAGCAGGGCTCAGTCCAGGCAGGGCCAGTGGTGCAGGAGGCGCTGGCTTGGATTTTCCTCAAGGGAAAGGGATGGGATCCAGCAACCTGTGCCCTTCCAGTGACTTCTGTAGGTGTGTTAGTGACAAGTTCAGCAGGGTACAAGAAGCATGGGCCAGTGCCAAAGGCCAAGCCCAGGGATGTTTCAGATTTTTCCCTTTATACCCCTGTAACCAAGCCCTACTGCTCCAACCCATATAAGAGACCCAGACCTAGAGCTCTGGCATTCAGCGGCCTGGCCTCTCTCACCTCTGTTCAACAGCTCACAGCTCACTTCCTTCCTCAGCCATGATCGCTAGACAGCAGTATGTTCGAGGAGGATCTCGAGGCTTCAGCAGCGGCTCAGCCATCGTTGGTGGGGGCAAGCGTGTTGCCTTCAGCTCGGCCTCCATGTCAGGAGGTGCAGGACGCTGTTCCTCTGGGGGTTTTGGCAGCAAAAGCCTCTACAATCTTGGGGGGAACAGGAGTATTTCTTGCAGTGTGGCTGGGTCCCGCCAAGGCATTGGCTTTGGGGGTGCCGGAGGCTTTGGTGCTGGCAGTTTTGGTGTTGGAGGCTTTGGTGCTGGCAGCTTTGGTGGTGGATTTGGAGGCTCCTTTAATGGCCGGGGTGGCCCTGGCTTCCCTGTGTGCCCTGCTGGGGGGATTCAAGAGGTCACCATCAATCAGAGCCTGCTGACTCCCCTCCATGTGGAAATTGATCCTGAGATCCAGAGAGTCCGGACGGCGGAGCGTGAACAGATCAAGACCCTCAACAACAAGTTTGCCTCCTTCATTGACAAGGTGAGTGAGTCCTAGGCCAGAAAAGTTGGGGGCACAGTGCAAACTCCTGAGTTCTAGGATCTCAGACCCTAGCTTGATAAGAGATGGTACTGGGCTTAAACACAGGGCCTGGGCATTGTTACTTAGTTGTTCCCCTCCCCTCCCCAAGGCTGGTGCTTTACCACTTGAGTTACAACTCAAGTGAATTGGAAATAGGGTTGCTGGTTAATTGGAGAGAGAAGTTTCATGGACTTTCTTGCCTGGGCTGGCTTTGAACTGGGATCCTTAGGTCTCAGCCTCCTGAGTAGCTAGGTTTACAGGTGTGAGCCACTGGCACCCAGCCACGAGGTGTTTTTAATGGGGATTGTCCCTGAATTTCTCTAGGACTCAGTTTTTGGCTGCAAAGGACTCTAAATACTCCCAGCTTTCCTTTTTTTTGTCCCTTGGCCGTGGAAGATAGGACGTTCAGAGCAGTTCATTCATGATCAGGTCCCTAGAAAAACTGCCTAGGAAATAGTTCTTTGGCTTTGGTCACCCCAGCTAGAGAGTAGGTTCATAATTCTCCCCGCTTTTCCTCAGGTTTTGGTTTTGGAAACAATATAAACTCCATTAACATATTGTTAACTCTTGGGAACTGTGTTCTGGGAACAGAAGAAAGTCGAGCTGGTTTTGCAAAGGAAAAAGGCACTGAGTTCTGTGGAAGATTCTAGGTGCCCACAGGACCTTAGATCTTCTTCTTTCTCCTGACTCTGGGAAAAATGGCTCCTTTCTGAGGAGAAGGGATAGTTCAGTCTTTCTGTGGTTTCTGGGAAGTTTCTGTAGCCCAACATCCCTTCTTTCCTGTAAGGTCTGGAGATTAATGTTGTGGAGGCTCCATGACAGCTAAGTATGATGGATGATGGTGAAGAGGTCATCCCAGAGCTCTGAGTCACCTACAGATGGGTGACTGTGGGGATGAGTATAGCACCTTACTCTTCACTCCTGGCTAGCCTAGTTCTTGGTGCATCTAAGTCTTAGACCCCTTCAGTATTATGGTAAGATGAAGGGACATGAGAAGGAGGAGAGGAAGAGAAAGGAATAAGAAAGAGGAAAGTATAATATGCATGCATGGGATGTGTCGTGCTCTGTGTGTGTGTGTGTGTGTGTGTGTGATGGAGGACTTGAACTCAGGTGCTATCCCAGAGCTTTTGTATTAAAGACTATTACTTTACCACTTGAACCACAGCTCTACTTTTGGCTCTTTGGTGGTTAATTTGGAATAAGAGTCTCATGGAATTTCTTGCCCAGGCTGCCTTCATACCAGGATCCTGAGATCTCAGTCTCCTCACTAGCTAGGATTATAGGTATGAGCTAGCAATGCCAGGTCATGAAAATATTCTTATGAAACTCTTGTTTTTTAATATATATTTTTGTTGTAAAGATACTGCACAGAGGGGTTACAGTTACATGAGCAAGGTAATGAGTCTATTTGATATCGAGCATTGTTAACCCCTCCTTTGTTTTTCCCTTACCATCCCTTTCCTCCCCACCTCCCCAGCTCCTCCCTCCCCCTCCAAGTTGTAAAGTTCGTTTTCAACATACTGTCTTGTACATCTCACTGTTACAATGGATCAACCTGTATCCTTATTTCAGCTTTTTGTTATTTCCCTTCCCCTCCCCAAATTAGAAAAATGTATATACAAGATGCAGGGCACTAACATCAAATACAGTGACAACGGGGGTTATACTATGGGGGAAGAAACAAAAAAAAATCACATACTACATTATAAGTACTTTCTTGCTGTTCTTTTTAATGTAATATGAAACTCTTTGTATGTACAATTTAATATATGCCACTAAAAAAGAAAAAACAGAAGGTCTTTTTTAAAAAAAAGTCCTAGGCCCCTTAGCCGAGAGCTGGTGGCTCACGCCTGTAATCCTAGCTACTCAGGAGGCTGAGATCTGAGGATTGTGGTTCAAAGCCAGCCCAAGCAGGAAAGTCTGTGAGACTCTTATCTCCAATAAACCACTAGAAAACCAGAAGTGGCACTATGGCTCAAGTGGTAGAGTGCTAGCCTTGAGCTGAAGAGCTGAGGGACAGCGCCCAGGCCCAGAGTTCAAGCCCCACAACCGACAAAAAAAAAGTGCTAGGCCTCTTAGATACATGGGACAAGAATGACTGGCCCTGGAATAAACAGAGTGATTATATGTACTCTTCTCACAACTTTGAATAAATTCTTATTGATGTCAGGTGCTTTATTGTGATGCTAGATAGACAGACAGATATAAAAGCAAGACTAAAGGATCTTCATGCTTCCTTGTCTCACCTCAGCTCACCTCATCTCATCTCACTTTCTGGGTTCAGAAGGGAATCAACCTCTGAATTCTGAAGCATAGATTGTGGGATTGTCTGCTAAGCTGCTTTCTTGCCTAGACTGGCTGAGTCTTTTCAGAGAGAGAGGAGGTCCCAAAAGTCCCTGGCAGGCTGGATCTAGCTGAGACTCAGAATCTGTTAGGCCTTGGTTGTAAATACCTGTACCCAATCATGCCCAGAAGCATTAATAAGAAAGTTTATTTTCAAAGTCTCTGCTGAAGGCTGGGGATACAGACCATTGGTAGAGGGCTTGTTTAGCACGTATAAGGCCCTGGATTCCAGCTCCAGCACTGCAAAAATGTGCATAGTGAACTTACTATTTTTTTTTCTTTGCCTTGAGTCAGGATCACTTGAATGCCAGAGGTTTCAGACTATGACTGTAGCTACTGGTTCCAAAGAATGGATGATTTTTTTAATAGAAGTTTCATGTTCTTCTCTAATAGCTCACCCAGGGGGTTGTGGATTCCTGCAGTCAGGGAGCCAGTCTTTCTGCACTGCTGGGCCCTCTGCTCTGTTCTCCACAGTCCATGTGGCCCATTTGCTGCTATGGGCTGAGGAGCGGGGCCATTGAGGTTACCCTATTGGATGATAACTCTACTTGTGTGGTTTTAGGTATACTGGTTTCCTGGATTGACTGGGTTGGTGTTACCTTGTTGGCAATCCTGATAAGCTTTAGTTCCTCACTGGTTCGCTTGTGTCTTGTTCAACACAGGTGCGGTTCTTAGAGCAACAGAATAAAGTCCTGGAGACCAAATGGAGCCTCCTCCAGCAGCAGACGACCACCTCATCTCCAAGAAACCTGGATCTGTTCTTTGAGACCTACATTAGTGCCTTAAGGAAGCAGCTGGACACCTTGGGCAACGACAAAGGGCGCCTACAGTCAGAGCTGAAGATCATGCAGGACAGTGTGGAGGACTTCAAGACCAAGTATGTGGAAGGAAGGAAGGGATCTTTAACATCTCTGCCTGGATGGCCCAAACACCCCAGCTCTACTCTAATGCCTTAGAATCTCAGGCTCTGAAGAAATCTCCGGGGGTCAGGAAAAGTCTTCTAGTCTGACCCTCGTACCCATATTTTATGGGGCCATCCTGTTTTCATGAAGTCAAGTTTAATAATCACAAATTGCCCCAAACATAAATTTACTGTTAGATTCAGGGAGCATGTCTGCCACACACACCGTATGAGGAGCTCGCGGAGTACTGAGGCAGATGGGATCAGTTTGAATATTGATTTCTCACTCATTAGCTATATGACTCTGGGGAGTTGCTTAACATCTCTGAGCTTCAGTTTTTTTAAATCTTATTTTTTATTTTAAAATTCTTTTTATTACCTTTAAGTAGCTGTACAGAGGGATTTCACTCCAACATGCTACTTTCTTCATGAGTACAGTGTATCTTGATCAATGTCACCTCCCATCCATGTTCTTTCCCATCCCTCCCAACCCCCTCACCTCCTCAAGATTTGTGGTTCCATACTCACATATGTACATGGAATATTATGACTGTGTTATCCCGCCATTCCTTTCCCTTTCTATCTCCATTCTTTTTTTTTTTCTTGGTCATGGAGCTTGAACAGGGCCTGGGGGCTGTCCCTGAGTTCACTGAACATGGGAAGTAGAGCTTAATTACCTAGATATCTCCAAATAGATATTTAGGAATACGTAGCAGAGATTTCAGAAGCGCTAGCTCACCGTGGGCTTTGCCATTTCCTTTCTGTCCTTTAGGTATGAAGATGAGATCAATAAGCGGACGTCTGCAGAGAATGACTTTGTGGTTCTCAAGAAGGTAAAGATGGATCAAGAGCCCCAGGTTCCCCCCGTGGTTGAAGATCATTCTTGGCTTGGCTTGGTCCATTTTGGCCTTGGTCCTTGTCTGCTTTGAAATGAATTTCATTTGTTACTATTCAGACCTGGGCAGTCAAAGGAAGTGGGTGAGGTGACAGTCCAAGTTCTAAGGAGTTAAGATGGGGAGGAAACCCTGTCCGGACAATCAACTTCCATGTGTTCATATGGATTTAGGTGCAGAAGATACCAAATAATTGTCACCTGGTGTGGTGTAGCCTTTCCTACTAGATATTGATCAACACCTTCTCTGTCCCCATTGTGAGTCTTGCCTGTTGTCTCTCCTCTTCCTCTGCAGGATGTTGATGCCGCCTACATGACCAAGGTGGAGTTGGAGGCCAAGATGGATGGTCTTAATGATGAGATCAGCTTCCTGAGGGTCCTCTATGAAGCGGTGAGGAGTCCACCCACAGAGGAGAAGGGGATCCCCATTTACAGGGCTGCAGAAAGAGCTTGGGATACACAGTTCTTAGAAAGATCCCCAGCTCTCTTGACAATGTCATGGACAGAGGGGGCTGAAGTGAAGTGAGGTTCAACAGGGAGCTTCTCAAAACCAGGTCCTGTCTACTTATTGATTTTTTGGTACCAGTCCTGGGGCTTGAACTCCGGGTCTGGATGTTATCCCTGAGCTTTTGTGCTCAAGGTGAGCACTCTACTAGAGTCATAGCTCCACGTCTGGCTTTTTGGGTGGTTCACTGGAGATAAGAGTCTCAAGGACTTTCCTATCCAGGCTGGATTTAAACCATGATCCTTCTGAGTGCACCACCAGTACCTGGCAACCAGGTATTGATTTAAAGAAGTGATTAGAGCCAGATATATCAAGGGATAGAATCCATTGCTGCTTACCATTTTTTCTGGAGGAATGGGCTCATTCCATTTCCTTGTATACGGTATTCCCAGCACCCTCCACACTAGACACGTAGCGCTTGTGGTGGCTCTTGCGTGGGAGTTGGAAAAGGTGAAAAACCTTGCTTTCTGTTTGGAGATGTCCCTTCCCTCATTTCTACTTAGAGTTTTCCTTTTTTCCCTTTTCTTTTAAATTGGGAACGCCATCTCTGTTCCCTCTGACTGGTGTCATAGCCATATCATGATGATAGGAGTCTTTTGCCAGAGCTCAGGGAGAGTCTCCTGGGGGGCTGATGTGAGACATTTTCCTTGTAGGAGCTGTCCCAGATGCAGACACATGTCTCTGACACCTCTGTGGTGCTCTCCATGGACAACAATCGCAACCTAGACCTGGAAAGCATCATTGCTGAGGTCCAGGCCCAGTACGAGGAGATTGCCAAGAGAAGCAAGGCTGAAGCTGAGGCCCTGTATCAGACCAAGGTGGGTGATGGGGTGACTCAGGAGATGAGGGTGGCTCTAGATTTTGCCTTTAATGTCTGTGAATGCGATCATCAGCTTCAGTCCTGGAGCCATCAGAGATGAGTGGATCGTCTTACCCTAAAGGTCTTGACTCCTGACTTCCTGTTTTCCTTCTATCTTAGGTCCAGCAGCTCCAGACATCAGTTGACCTACATGGTGACAACTTGAAGAGCACTAAGAATGAGATCTCAGAGCTCAACCGGATGATCCAGAGGCTGAGGACTGAGATTGAGAATGTCAAGAAGCAGGTAAGTGTTACCTCCTCCAAGCTTAGGTTCAGGGTAAGGGGCCCCTGGCAGATGGCTGCTGTGGTGGACAAGCAGATAAACCCTGTATTGCAAGCCCCTTGAGCCCATGACGCAGATCACATTTGGATATTCTCAACAGCATCCTCATTAATGTCACATAGCAGTTTCTGGACCTTCACTGGGTTTGGCTTATTTATTTATTGCCAGTACTGGGGCTTGGACTAGGGCCTCACACTCCTGCTGAGCATTTTTTTCCTTCAAAGCTGGTACTCTACTACTGGAGTCACATCTCCACTTCCAACTTTTTTCTGGTTAATTGGAGATTGTCTGCTCCAGGATCCTCAGATCTCAGCCTCTCAAGTAGCTAGGATTACAGTGGTCAGCCACCTGCATCCAGCCTGCTTCTCTTTTTCATCACTGTAGTGGAGACATTGGTAGGTTCTGCCTGGAGTTGGGGAAGGTAGGGAGAAGAGCAGGCAGAATCTTGACATATCAACCCCAGAACAGGGGACAGGCATAGAGATCTTGGCAGGAGGACACTGATGAGGCCTGTTGATGCCTTTGTCCACAGTGCCAGACTATCCAGGCATCTGTGGCTGATGCAGAGCAGCGCGGGGAGCTGGCTCTCAAAGATGCCTATAGCAAGCGCACAGAGCTGGAGGCTGCCTTGCAGAAGGCCAAGGAGGAGATGGCCCGGATGCTGCGGGAGTACCAGGCACTTATGAGTGTCAAGCTGGCTCTGGATGTGGAGATAGCTACTTATAGGAAGCTGCTGGAGGGCGAGGAGTGCAGGTAAGGGGGAGGCAGGGAGGGGAACATGGGATGCAGAGTTTGGGCCTCTGCTGGGATGTTTGCTCTAGCACTGTGCTGGTGTATCAAGAACCAGGATGGGGTAGCAAATGGTTCATGCTCAGGCCTTAGGATCTGGCCACTCAAGTCTGGGAAAGGTGCATCAGACTTGCGTAATGACCAAAGTGTAGCTCTGGGCTTGTTATGGCTCATGGTTCTCTTCTCCTTACAGGATGTCTGGGGAATGCCAGAGTGCTGTGAGCATCTGTAAGTACCTCTGCCCCTACCATGGTCATCTGCTCACCCTGGTCTGGGCCAAGGGCCTCTGGCACAGTGTGAGTAACTGTCCTTTGCCTTTCTTGCAGCGGTAGTCGGTGGTAGTGTCAGCGCTGGAAGCATTGGTGGAGGATTAGGAAGCTACTCTGGATTTGGCCTGGGTAGCGGCTTTGGTTCTGGCTCTGGAAGTGGTTATGGATTTGGTAGCCATTCCAGCAGTAAGATCATCTCTTCTTCCACCCTGACCAAGAGGTCCCAGCGATAGAGAAGATGAGGCGCTGTAGGCCCCTGTGTCCAGCCCAGCCCTGATGTCTTTGTGCTTCCTTCATTTCACTTGTACCCTTTCTGCTGTTCATCCTGCCAGAGATGGGCCACTCTGCCTTGGGCTTGCTCTGCTCCAGGACAATCCTCTTGGCCGGAATGTGGACTCTGCCCTCTTGGAGTTTGGTAGTTTCTTCTCCATTTAGGACTGGTGATTTCCCCTGGTGTGAGAGGAGGGCTGTCAGCTTTGACCTCCCATGCATAGAGAAGAAATGACCAGACCTGTCAAGATCATGTATGTCCTCTCATAGCTCCATCAAACCATAGCTATGCATCGATATTAACCAAACTCAGTCCCTATCACCTGGCAGCAACTGGCTCTGAAAGGTTAGGATGAGAACGTCTTAGTGTTCTGCTCAGCTCCGCTTGTTCCCTCTGTCCTCCAATAAAATGCTTTTATCATTCAGTCTCAGCAACTGTCTTTGTTCACTGGGGGGGGGGGGGAAGACTTTCTTGTGACACATCCAAATAATTTAGTGCAGATGGACACTGTATGATTGAGGGGGGCAGTTTATCTAAAGGATCTGTCTATACTGGTCAAGTCATCTACTAACTTCAAGTTACACAGATCATTGAACACAGAAGATTAGTGGAGGGAACATGGAGACTACTCGTAGGGTAAGGTATCTAGATTCAAGAGACAATCAACAATTTATCAAAGAATGTTTATTACAGGGCAACCAGAGCATCTCAATGCTGAGTCTAGAGGGTACCTGGAGGGGATGGCCAATATGTAAAGGTATGGGATGTCTGCCAGCTGCAAGGAAGGGAGTCAGAGGTCTCAACTGGATATAGAACAAGAGGTTATGGACTCAGGGGAGAAAGCTCATGTTTGGGGATTTTGCAAGGCCTCCCTATTTTTATGGAATTGCACACATGGGACTATATCCCCAGAAGGCTTTTAGGAACCAGATCTAAGAACCAGCAAGGCCACAGGTGGTAGATGGAGGAACATCAGCTTGTTCCCTGTCTGAGAGGTGTTGCTTGCTTCCTGCTTTTTGGCATGTGGGGTGAGTGGTGTGGTGATGTTTGGGCATTGCTCAGTCCCTGAGTGGAGGTAGGAAGGATGGTGGAGCCAGAGATGGGAAGCTTCCTGACTGGTCGAGGAGAATGATGGAGGTGGAGAGGGAAAGCCTCTTGATTGGTCAGAGAGAATGGTGGAAATGGAGAGGGGAAGCTTCCTGATTGGGCAGGAGGAATGGTGGATATGGGGAGGGGAAGCTTCCTGATTGGTCAGAGAGAATGGTGGAAGTGGAGAGGGGAAGCTTCCTGACTGGGCAGTCCTGGAGATTGTGCTTCATGTGGTACATTGCCAAAGTGAGGAGTGGACATTTAGATGGGGAGTGAGGTTGGGACTAACTTTTGAGAATATGTTGTTTTTATGCTGGAGCAATCCTAAAATTTCCAGAGCAATCTTCCCTGTTTTAGAAGCAGATTGTTGAGCCTGAACTTAGTCCCTCTTCTACAGGTGCAGGGCAAAGCCTCTTGCCTGCAGGGAGTCCATTCATCTCCAGTCCTCAGTGCATTGTCTGTGTGTCTGATTGTACAGACAGGAGGGGAACAAGGTTTGCCACTGATCGGCAGGCTTCAAGCAGACCCTGCGGCAGGCTTGGAGCTGACTTCTCTTTGGGAAAGCGGAGACAGAGCAGCAAGGGTTAATCTCTTGATCCTGATTTCTGGCAGGAGGAACAGAGACTAGGCCAGAGGGCCCTGATGCCTCCATTGTCTATGCTGGGCTCCCTGCCTCTTGTGCATGCACATGCATGTGAGAACAGGAAGTTTGCAGCCTTTGCAGCCAGTCAGACAGCTTTGATTTCTTCCTCCGTGTACCTCTCCCCTGGGAAAATGCTCAGTTGGCTCTCTGTTGGGTTTCTGTGGTGAGGAGGAGGAATTAAGGGTTGAAAGAGGAGTGGGGATTCTCAGAAAGCTGCAGGTGGTGATAGACCCCATTGCTCACATCCCTGGGTGTGAGGGTGTGGGAGTGGCCAGTCCAGGGGCTGTGTGTGGGGTCTAAGGACTCTGTAGTTGCTCTTAATGATTTACCTGGCCAAGCTTGCTGCAGATGAGATGTGTGTAAGTGTGGATCAGAGCCAACATGATTGTACTTGCAGGCAAGGGGCCATGTGGGTGTATTTGTTTTTTGTTTATACAAGAAGACTCCTCTTTTGCAGTAAAGAGAAAACCACTCATGTTGGCCCCTATTTCCAGAGTTGTCTAGGGAGGTGATTTTGGATACAGAAGTAGCAGGCTGAGGGGAAGAAGCCATTTGAGTACTCTTCCAAGTTTTTGCCATGTTGAACGTGGAGACTGACCATCTATCTCTTTATTCGTGAAGAGAAGGCTGAGTGTGTAGAGTGTTGCCATAAAGAGTCTGGGTGGTGCTGGGAGCCCAGGACCCAGGCTCTGCTCCTGGCTGACTTTGTGCCAAGGCAAGATGGTGCTCCTTCTCTCTGTGTGTGTGTGTGTGTGTGCGAGCGCGCACTCGAGTACGCACATGCCAATCTTAGGGCTTCAATTCAGGGGCGAGGTGCCCCTGAGCTTTTTTTTTTTGCTCAAGGCTATCACTTTACCACTTGAGACACAGCTCTACTTCTGTGTTTTTGATGCTTAATTGTAGATAAGAGTCTTACAGACTTTCCTGCCCAGGCTGGGTTCAAAGCACAATTCTCAGATCTCAGCCTCCTGAGCGTTTAAAATTACAAGCATGAACCACTGGTGTCTGGATCACCTATAATTAAAAAAAAAAAAACACATCTGTTGTAGATTTGATCTTCAAAACTTTGGAGAAGGTAGATGAGCAGCTAGATAAGCTAGGAGGGGGCTTACTGGAGAAAGGATTTTTGAGTACCTTTTGCTAGTTGTTTCATTCATTCATCCATTAATCCACCCATCCACTAACCCATCTATCCATCTATTCTTGTATCCATCCATCCATCCATCCATCCATCCACGTATCCACTTACTCATGCATGCATGTATCTTTCCACTCCCTCCTATTCATTCTTTTACCCAGCACACCAGCCTATGAATTCTTCAAGCATAAGGACCATGGCTCTATTTATCTTGATATTCAGGAGCCTCTGTACTCATCTTACAGCCACTGTTTAACAAAGGTTGATGAAATGAATGGTCAGATGTTCACTGCCTACTCTATATCAGGTGATGGGAACCCAAATAGAAGCAAGGATTAGATGTACTTTAAGGAGACATGATAGATGGTCATGACTAGATGCAAATAACTTAGTGATTAGACAGAGAGATGAAATGCCCTAGGGAGGGGGAAATTATTTGGGTGAAGGCTTGGCAATCACAGGATGTTTCATGAAAAGGGTGGTGTTCAAGTGGACTCTTGAGGGCCTGGATGCTGGAGGGAGATGCATCTCTTTTTTTTTTTTTAAATTTAATTAATTTTTTTTTTTTTTGTGAACATACTGTACAGAGGGGTTACAATTACATGGGCAGGATAATGCGTACATTTCTTATCAAGCATTGCAGCCTCCTCCTTTGTTTACCCTTCACATCCCTTCCCAGCTTCCCCCCAGCCCCCCCAACCCAATCCTCCCCCCCACCCCCCCTCCCCGCACCAACGTTGTAAAGCTCGTTTTCGACATGACAACTTGTACTTCTCATTGTTGCAACAGGTCCACCTGTATCCTTAAACGACTTGTTTTTCCCCATCTCCTCTACAAGTTATATTGACATCAAATATAGTGAAAGCAGGGGTTATACTGTGGGGGAGGGACGTACAAAGCAACAAAGAGATAATCTTATAAATGTGTTAGAAACACATGCATGAAAGAAAAAAACATTAAAATACGTATCTAAGGGTTCATTTTCCTAACATCACATTATCTGACCTTTTCTGCCTGACTCATACATATACTAGATATTGCAAATAAGGGAAACCATGGGACCTATGTTTCTTTGGGCCTGGCTTACTTCACTTAATATAATTTTTTCCAAGTTTTTCCATTTCCTAACAAATGGGGCAATGTCATTCTTTCTGATGGAGGCATAGAATTCCATCCTTTCTTCCTGGAAGTCTGGGATTGGCTTTGCCCTGTTGGAGCACTGATGCTCTGTCTTTCTTGGGAAGATTCTGATCATATTCCTTTCTCACTGCACTTTCCACACAGACTGAGAGCTCCTTTTCCTGTTAAGATATCATGTCCATTTAAAAGCCCCAGAGGGCAGTGGATTCAGCTCGACACACTTCGTGAGCATCTAGTCTGTGTTGGGTTCTGTGTGAGGATGCAGAGACATAGAGCCCATTGTAGCCTGTTCTTCCCTTGAAGAAGACATGGTTTATCATAAATATGGTGGTCACATGAAAACAGAACAGACATTTTATGTACAGATGCTCTGTGCTTTCTGGATAGTGTTGAGAATAATATTAGATACCAGCAAGGAATTTTTTTTTTGTTGGTTGTGGGGCTTGAACTCTGGGCCTGGGTACTGTCCCTCAGCTCTTCAGCTCAAGGCTAGTGGTAACTTGAGCCACAGTGCCGCTTCCAGTTTTTTGAGTGGTTTATTGCAGACAAGAGCCTCATGGACTTTCCTGCCCTGGCTGGCTTTGAACCACGATCCTCAGATCTCAGCCTCCTGAGTAGCTAAGGTTACAGGCATAAACCACTGGCACCTGGTATAGCAAGAAGGTTTTGAAGCACAAGAAGGCTCCCTGGAGAAGATGACACTTGAGAGAAGTCTGAGGAGTCAGCCAGGTGAGATGCACAAGGACTTGGAGCCTGGAAGAAAGGTTCAGGATCACAGGGTTCTCTAGCAGCCAGAAACCAGAGGAAAGCCTGTCAGAATGTGTGACTCAGATAGTATGTGTATAAGCCCAAAGTAGCTTAGCAACACGCAATACTAAAGGCAGGGAGCAATGGGATAGAAGGCTGGGAGAGGCTGATTGGGGCCAGGGTATGGAGCACTATGGTATGACCCATTATCCAGTTTGTTAGGGGACTGGGCATTGTGTTCCAGTAGCTAGACAGCTGCAGAACAGGTGTGTCTAAGAGAACAAGCTCAAGGGAGGTTGGGAAGTAATACTGGGGAACTCTGGGGTGCGGTCTCCAGGCTCATGTTGTACTTTGGCTCTGTGTCTGACATCTACCATATGCGCAACTCCCTCCCTTTCTACAGAGTTGTATTTGCTCTGCTCCCTTTTTACTCCTTTATTGGTGGTCCTGGGTTTTGAACTCAGAGTCTTGCCCTTGGAAGGCTGGGGCTCTACTGCTGAGCCATGCCTCCAGCCCTCCACCTTTGCTCACCAAGAGGAAATGTTTCTTGGACTAAGAGATTTGTTGTCATTCCTTTTACTCCTGATAGAATTATTTCTCCTTCCCCTATAATAATATTCATTTCCTCCCTATTTTTTTCTAGCACCTTC